TATTTTGTAAAGACAGTGCGACATGAACTAATTTGGAAAAAAAAACCACCAAGTTTTTATCAAATTTATGCATTAAATGATTTACAAAACCTTTCTCATAGACTTGTTAAAGAATCAAATATATCGCATATCGCTTTATAAAATATCGTATCGTATCAAAATATTTTGGTCAATACACAGCCTTGCCCAATCTCCCTTGCAGAGTTGTCGTTCGTTTCTCTCTCAGACACCTCTGTAATGGGCTCGCGTCAAAATTCTTGACATAAAGTAGAAAACATGATATTCCAAGGATTATTTCAAATTATATTAATAGTTCTATATCTATTTAAGAAATAAATACCTTAAAAGACAAACATTAGCGCAGGGAACTTTTCGTAACGAATTGAAACAAACGCATTATTTCTTGTGCCTAACACCGTGATATATGCAAGCCAACGACAGAGGTAAATGTATGAGCCGAGGTAGAGAGTGAGCCCTATCGTGTTTGCTCTGCTCCAAATTTGCATCGTTTCACTGGACTTTCAAGATTGAATACCGTTTGTTATCTTCATATTTCATTTATAAATTAACCCCTACTTCAAATAATCAAATATCGAACAATCTGACAAATTTTGACCTCTTAATCTTAATAATAAACCCAGATAGCAAGCTTACGTTGGGCATACGCAAGCCCAACGGTGAAAATTGCGTTGGCCCCCTGTCAGTTTTATGCGTTGGCCCAACATCATCTTGCTCATCGGCCCTACGTTCAACTAACATATTGGCTCGACGTTGGGCCAACATTCGATGGTTGGCTATCTGGCATTGGCCCAACAATGGCCCAACGTTTAACTTCCTGTTGGCCCAATGTTGGTTCAATGTTTTTTAAAGCTAAGAATGAATGTTGGACCAACGTTGGCCCTACGTTCTATAAACATGTTTGGCAAATGATCGGCGCTTGAATTATTTTAGTTCAACAATATGAATTCCCGTAACCTTTTTATTTCCATAATTACAAGTAAAACACAATTGATTGAATAAATCCTGCATGGTCAATTATCTTGTTCCTCAAACAAATGTTCTATTTTTTTTTTGTCACTCCTATAGAATGAAATCAACAGAGGGAAATAAAGGTAGTTCAATGTTTTCTTAAGTCTATCCCATATAACTTCAGTCACTATATAATATTCCTCTAGAATAAGAGTCCCAGTGTTCAAATTTGTGAAACTTTGGAATGTTCTCCTGCCCATGTTACTTCTGAACCATTCACTCCTTTTTTCCTGTTCATGTTATTGTTTCTTTGTCTGTAAAATCCATGTCTCTCACACTGATAATTGAGATAAATCACTCACTGTCCATTACATTCCAAACATCAATGGTCTTGTAACACAAAGGGTTTTCTCCCCACCAGATGCTATAAATGATATGAAAAATATATCAGTTTAATCCGTTCAAAAATGATGTCACTTACTACTTATAAGTTATAACTTAAAGAGATTACTAGTAAATATACATGCATATTTTGAAAATTGCAATTCTTGAATAACTTGTTCAATTTTACAAATTATGCTCAAGTTAAACTTTCACAGAGATAAAATTCTATCAATCACACCTAAAACGACTATATACTTACATTTCAAGGGCTGAAACAATCCATTTTCTCTGTCTTGCGATTCAAAACGGACACGCACATGTATATGCTTTGTTCAAGTGTTGCAAGTGATAAGATGTGACCACTCCGAGTTTACGAAACAGAGCTTATTAGGATGCCTGTTTCCTAGGAAACCGGCCAGTCACCTGCTGAGCCAGTGGATTTCACCACTGACCTAATTATTTGGAGCTCTAAAATTCAGCACTGTAAGTTCCATGATGCTAAATATAGAATCTACAAAATTATATACTGTGCAGAATAATTAAAAGTTCTACATGTATTTGCAATGGTCTCGGACACAAATTACAAACATTAATCAGTATTAAAAAATCTTATTTTCATAAATTAGGTTCTGGAATAATTTTTCATTTTTATTAACACATACACTGTAAATTATTAATAAATGGGCTATTAAGATAATCCATTGTTCATAATATTTTAACGAAAGATGAGATGTCTCTATTGAAAGAAGCTTAATTGGTTCTAAAAGATACAAATTTAATATGTGTAATTAACAGATCACCAAGATGTATGTTAATGAAAGTTGATTTCTTCCTAATATTCACTCCGTTGAACCAACGCTGGGCCAACGTTGAAAGCCATATCAATACCTCATTATAATCAAAATTTACTACGTTTGGCCAACATTGGACCAACATTACATGCCCAACACACATTTCATGTGTTTCATGTCAACATTACTTGGTTGGCCCTATGTTGGGCCAACATTACATCCCAACACACAGTGGCTTTGTTTTAAGCCAACATCTACTTGGTTGGACCTACGTTGGGCCAACATCAAATGCCCAACATATAATGGTCATGTTTCATGCCAACATTTACTACAATGGACCAACATTGGCCCAACATCGCATACCCAACACCGATGGACCAGCTTTCACGCCAACATATCATCCGTTGGGCCAATGTTGGGCCAACATTTACCGCCCAACGCCAACACTATACCAGCCTACCAACCATCAACCAACGTTGGCCCGATGTAGTCTTGCTATCTGGGAAAGATAACACAAGTGTATGAAGTCAAATATTGCAATATTCTGTTTTTTAAGTATGGTATAATATTTAATCTTTAGTTAATGTATATTTAAGTGTCCAATTGTATTGCATAAAATGTATTTCATATTTTTATTGTTAAAGTCTGTAATTGTGTCACATCGAAAACAAATGGAATTCATGCACTTACCTATTAACTTACTTTCCGTGATGCCTTTGGCGTATAGGGCAGTAACGAGGGTTCTCCATTCTTGTCTATCACTTGCTAGCTTTTGAAGTGTTTCTGAGCTTCTCTCTTTTTCTTTAAGTTCAGCTTCCACTGTCCGCCGCCAAGTGACTTTGATCCTTCCTCTCTTCACTTTTCCTTCTAGTGTCCAGAGGAGAGCTGTCTTTATGATACTGTCCGAGTCCCTTTTAAGTACATGGTCAAGCCAGTTCCAGCGTCTTCTGATAATGATTTTGGCCATGTCCCTTGCACCTGTTGAGAAGGTCTGATCTGAGATGGTATTAGGCAAAAATATTCTTGGGATCCTTCTCAGGGACTTTGTATGGAATGTCGACAGTTTGTTCAGGTCGCACTGTGTCATTCTCCAACACTCTGATTTATACAAAAGGATAGGTATAATGCAGCTTTTGCATAGTTTCAGCTTTGTTCTTGTTGTGCACTGACTTGATCTCCAAACAGTTTGTAGGTTGTTAAATGCTGCTCTTGCCTTGGATAGTCTCTCTTTGATGTCGGTCTCTGCTCCACCGTCTGATGTTACTTTGCTACCCAAGTATGTAAAGGTGTTGGTGCATGGAAAGATGTGATTTTCCACTTTGACGGCTTGTGGGTTGTTTACATTTAGGGTCATGACCTCTGTTTTGTGCATATCTTCAGTCTAATGCTACCTGCATATTTGTGGAGCCTGCTAGTTTCGTCTTGAATGTGCTGGTGGGAGTGGGAGAAAAAGGCTATATCATCATCAAAGTCCAGGTCTCCTAGCGTTTTAAATGTACCACATTTGATGCCTATCAGCATTTGACTCAATGATAGGTTGTATGTTCCGACAAGGTCATTGTATCGACCATAAAACGTGCGAAATGATGACTACAAACGAGACTGTTGATATCCTTGTTTCACCAACTTGTTTGTCAATAGCTTGCCTCGGTTTACAAATGGTTCATACGTACAGCATGCTCTTGTGTATCGAATCAACTGAGAGACATAAACCCCATATGCTGTTGATAAGGGTATATTTCTACATAAGTCTAATGTTTTTGAATGTTTCAATTGTGGCTGTAAGAAGTGGATCTGTTTTAAACAATTCTGCATTAAAGTTGTCATATCCAGGGGCTTTTCCATTTTTTAAAGTTTGTAAGTTTGTATTGCAGAGACAATTTCTGGAATTTGTGGTGGTTCAATGCTTATGTTTAGGTCAGCTGCTGGATCACTGATGTCAGGTTCATGAGTTGGAGGTGGTCTGTACAAGATTTCCTTAAAATGCTCTGTCCACTGTTCCTCCATCTCTTTTTCTGATGACAGCAACTTTCCTTTTTTGACCTTGACAGGTAGATTTGGAGATGGTCTATTCCTGCCACTCAGTGCCTTTGTTAGTTTGTAAAGGTTTCCTTGCTCTCCTGTTTGCTGCCTCTTCTGCTTTTGTTGCTAGGGCATCTATGTGTGTTCTCTTGTCTAGAGCCTTTTTCACTTCCTTCTCTACTTCACTGTATTCCTTTTGATGCCTCTCTTTAAGTCTCAGAGATTTGGCTTCATTCACTTTCTTTTTGGCATCTCTTCTTGAGCCAATCATTATACATGTTCTAGGCATTATCCAGTCTTTACTCCTCTGTTCATGCACATTCAATACAAATTGAAAAAATTGGAATACAAATTGTTTAATGATAAATGTGAAGATAACTGTCAGAGCCTTTTAAAAGTGGATGCTTTTTTGTTCAGTCGCCCACTCTAGAGTCATGGAGTAAAAAGTTTATCTTTAAGTCGCGGTTTCAAATCTACAATCGACAGTGGCAGCTACTTTCTGATTAAGAATTTGTAACCCAGTTAATCCAAGAGGCTAGACGAAAATTGTCATTTTCTCAACTTTTTTTTTTTTGCTGTATCATTAAAAATAATCTCAGAATTGTAATTAAAAAGGTGGATAAAGGTAATACGGTTGTGTAATGGATATACATCACTATATCTCAGAGTGTATGAGACAGCTCGATTCTACATATTATATAGAGGTACAAGGTAATAAAACAGGAAATAGAAGCTCTACATGAGAGCATCCAGTCTAATGTTTTTGAATGTTTCAAACTTTTGCAAGAGACAAAGAAAATTACATATTAAAAGAAAAATATAAAAATTAACACATAATTTTTATTAAATTTAATTATTTCAAAATACATAAAAATAAAACTAAAAATATCTTTATCTATTATCTAAACTGAATCATATTGAATATAAGTAATATATATCAAGTTCTTATATTCCCAATAAATTTAATCAAGATGGACTTTTTCTTCGTAATATTTTACTTGCTTTTCGAAGGTACCTAATCTATACGCATCTGTAAAGTTGGTTTCAATTCCAACGAGGTTTGCATATAATTTTCCTCAGCATTAAAAACCCTGACATAACAGAGTAGAATCTAATATAATAGTTTCAACCCTCTGAGTTCAGCTTTTCTTCAAGTGTTTTGCCATGCATGCAAGGAACCATCTGTAGCAGCAGATAAAATTATATTCTCAGCTGAGTGGCTTAGATGAGTTACAACCCTAACAACTGAAGGGTCGTCACAGCAATTTCTTATATGTCCTTCATGAACAAATACTGGTGATGAAGAATCTCTTGAATACAAGTAAACTTTTCCATCAAATCCTGAAATATTGACAAAGGTGTCGAATGATTTAAAAGTTGACACGTCAATTCAATTATTTTATAAAGAGCATCAGACCTTAGTTATTTTGAAGGATTATAAAAATTTGCTTATATCCCAAAGAAAGTTGAAATTAAGAAGATGCAAAACAACGCTTCTATTCAAAACCTCTTCCTATTAATGACTATGCATTAGACAATATTTGATTTAATAGTGCTTCTGAGACAAACACTCGCATTTGACCTCTAAACCACATTTGTTATAAAAGTGATCTGCCTACTGAATGCAAATGGCAAAGATTGATTACAAAAATTGATAATTTCTATTTTACATTTAAACAAGAGGCCCAAGGTCCTTAACGGTCACCTGAGTATAATACAACAATTTAGAAGTTAAATACACTGACAGATGAAGCTTTGTTGCCCTAAAGCAAGAGAAGTAGGAAGATCAGGATCAACAAAATAATTAATCTAGTATTCAGTATCAACTCATAACTTAAGTTCTAATCTGTCCCCCACTTAATATTATCACCATGCAGACTATTAACAAACTATTAGTGCTTTCTGTACTATTTTTAAACCCATATTAAGACCTCTAGCATTGACCTCTCTTATGGTCTTTGAAGAACTTTTAATAAGATGAGTTATTTTTGTCTCATTTTTATTTATCTATTACTTACAGGTCTGCCTGATTATCAAAACTAAGAAAGTACTTTTTGAATTATACGATAAACATTCTTGCATAATTATCTTATTCTATTAATCTTTCAAATACATTATTTACAGTGATTAATTATCAAAGGTGAATGGAAAAGGGGAATAACTTCTCTCAATAGAATATAAATTAATAGAGCCCCGTCGAGGACCAGAATGCTTAGACAAATTGTCCAGATGTTCAAAAATCTGGTAGAAATACACTTACTTATATCATTTAAACTTTTACTCAGTTTGCTTTCGATATGCCCAGAAGCAGAGAAGAATTTCACAGGTACAATGTATTTTCACTACAGATTCAACAAAGCCTTACCCTAACACCAGAACCCAAGACCAAAGGTCAAGAAATTTACAAATTTGGAAGAGTTACCCTCATCATCATAACTATGGACTTCAAAGAATTAACACTTTTCCACTATATTATCAAAAGCCCCCCCCCCCCTTCCTCGTTATGCCAGAACCCCTGACCCTAGGACCACAAGATTTAAAAATTCTGTTCAAAGCTCCCATCTTCATCATAGCTAAGCAATTTATTTATCAGCTCAACACTAAGGAACAGACAGGATTAGTTAATGATTAATTAATAGAATTCATGCATTTTCACTATATAATCAATAGAGCCCCCCCCCCCCCCTCAAGAACCCCAAAAACTGAGGCCATGTATCTAAAAATTTTGGAAGAGGCATCCTTGCCTATCATAATCATGCACTTAGTTTGTTTAAATAATCTCCAGTAGCAAAGAAGAAGATTTTCATAGAATCAATGCATTTTCACTATATAATCAATAGAGCCCCGCCCTAACACCGGAACCCCTGACCCTGGGGCCATGAAATTCACAATTTTTAAAAAAGGCATCCTTATGCATCATAACCATGCACTTAGTTTGTTTAAATAATCTCCAGTAGCAGAGAAGAAGATTTTCAAAGAATCAATGCATTTTCACTATATAATCAATAGAGCCCCACCCTAACACCAGAACCCCTGACCCTGGGGCCATGAAATTCACAATTTTTGAAAAGGCATCCTTATGCATCATAACTATGCACTTAATTTGTTTAAATAATACCCAGGAGCAGAGAAGAAGATTTTCAAAGAATTAATGCATTTTCACTATATAGTCGATAGAGCCCCACCCTAACACCAGAACCCCTGACCCTGGGGCCATGAAATTCACAATGTGGGAAGAGGCTCTCTTGCTCATCATAACTATGTACTTAGTTACTTAATTTAATACCCAGGAGCAGAGAAGATTTTCAAAGAATTAATGCATTTTCACTAGATAGTTGATAGAGCCCCGCCCTAACACCAGAACCCCTGACCCTGGGGCCATGACATTCACAATTTTGGAAGAGGCACTCTTGCTCATCATAACTATGTACTTAATTACTTTACTTAATACCCAGGGGCAGAGAAGAAGATTTTCAAAGAATTAATGCTTTTTCACTATATAATCTATAGAGCCCCGCCCTAACACCAGAACCCCTGACCCTGGGGCCATGAATTTCACAATTTTGAAAGAAGCACTCTTGCTCATCATAACTATGTACTTAGTTACTTTATTTAATACCCAGGAGCAGAGAAGAAGATTTTCAAAGAATTAATGCATTTTCACTATATAATCAATAGAGCCCCGCCCTTACACCAGAACCCCTGACCCCGGGGCCATGAATTTCACAATTTAGGAAGAGGCACTCTTGCTCATCATAACTATATACTTAGTTACCTTATTTAATACCCAGGAGCAGAGAAGAAGATTTTCAAAGAAATAATGCACTTTCACTATATGATCTATATAGCCCCACCCTGGGGCCAGAACCCCTGACCCTGGGGCCATGAATTTCACAATTTTGAAAGAGGCACTCTTGCTCATCATAACTATATACTTAGTTACTTTATTTAATACCCAGGAGCAGAGAAGAAGATTTTCAAAGAATTAATGCATTTTCACTATATAATCAATAGAGCCCTGCCCTAACACCAGAACCCCTGACCCTGGGGCCATGAATTTCACAATTTTGGAAGAGGCACTCTTGCTCATCATAACTATATACTTAGTTACCTTATTTAATACCCTGGAGCAGAGAAGAAGATTTTCAAAGAAATAATGCACTTTCACTATATGATCTATATAGCCCCACCCTGGGGCCAGAACCCCTGACCCTGGAGCCATGAATTTCACAATTTTGGAAGAGGCACTCTTGCTCATCATAACTATGTACTTAGTTACTTTATTTAATACCCAGGAGCAGAGAAGAAGATTTTCAAAGAATTAATGCATTTTCACTATATAATCAATAGAGCCCCGCCCTTACACCAGAACCCCTGACCCTGGGGCCATGAATTTCACAATTTTGGAAGAGGCACTCTTGCTCATCATAACTATGTACTTAGTTACCTTATTTAATACCCAGGAGCAGAGAAGAAGATTTTCAAAGAAATAATGCACTTTCACTATATGATCTATATAGCCCCACCCTGGGGCCAGAACCCCTGACCCTGGGGCCATGAATTTCACAATTTTGGTAGAGGGCTCAATGCTTATTACAATGATGCCAACAGTTTGACTGCTTGATGTCCAGGAGTAAAGAAGAAGATTTTTAAAGATTGCATTATTTTTGGTGGTTTTAGCCCCACCCCTCAGGCCCCAGGGGGGGCAGGGACCATGAAATTCACAATTTTTGTTCCCCTTCACCCATAGATGCTATATGCCAAATTTGGTTGAAATTGGTTAAGCGGTTTCAGAGAAGAAGCTAAAAATGTTCAAATGTTAACGCACGACGCACGCCGACGGACGAGAACGGATAGCAATAGGTCACCTGAGTGACTCAGGTGACCTAAAAAACCTTGACATCAGCTTTTAAATTTGCTTGCATAAAGATTGTAAAAAAATTAACTAAAACTGTCCAAAATGCACAAATATCCCCCGCTGGGTTTTTCAGAGAAAATGTCAAGTCACTAGTACTAGTATTTGATGGATCTAAGAGGTGTTCACAGGTTTTGTTTAAACATTTAGAGTGAAAATTTACCGGTAATTGCTCATTATATTTTTTTAAATGAATGAAACTAAGATGCAGCCTAATAAAACATCAATAATAATAATAACATTGCTTTTTATTACATTGAAAAATTAAATATCAATTTTTCAAGTATTTCTCTCTTGGAAAGTATGGATGCATTATTTATCCATTTTTTCTACAGTGACTATATGTCAAGATCATGACACACACTCAGGTCATAAGCCATCTTTGTGTGAAGTGGAACTCCAAACATCCCAACATTATTCTCCATAAGAAAGAATGAACTTTTTCTGTCAGTGACCTTGAACTTGCCCAAATGACCTTGAGTCACCCTCAGGTCAATAACAATCTTTGTGTAAAGTATTAGATTCTTATGTTCCTCCATAAGAAAGATATGGATCGGACACGTTTACACACAGAGACAGTTAGACAGATGGACAGACGGACAAGGTGATTCCTATATACCCCAAAACTTTGTTTGTTATGGGTATAATCACAAAAACATTAGATAATGACTCTATAAACAGACATGATACACAGTGATCTCTACTTTCCATTTGCTTGCACTTTTCTTCAGGCAAAAAAAAATAATACTGTATCTTAAACTCTGAATAGTACATACAATCTAACCCTGATGTCTTGAACATTAAAGTTACATGTATCCAAGGATTCTAGATATAGAAGATATACCTCGTGGAACACACAAAATCTTTGATGTATAATTATATATGAAGGTTCCAGATAAAGAAGTTGCATCTGGTGGGACTATCACAAAAACTTTGACAGTTTTTACATCCACTAAGGTTTTAGATCTAGATATGAAGTTGAACCTTGTGGGACTGAAGAAAAACTTTGAGATATCTGATGGTTCTAGATAAAGAAGTTGAATAATATACAGGACTCACTAAAAGTTTGAGATTACCCAGGATTGTAGACATAGAATTTGATTTTGGTGGGACTTTGAGGGACTGACAAAAACTTTTAGATATATCCATGGGTTTCTACAGATGTGGACACTTGAGTAAAAAAAAAATTGATCTGAACCATGTATTCATTTCCACATACAGTGCAGGAAACTAATTTTGTTACAGCATCGATGCTGATTTGAATGCTTCCTTTGCTTACTGATTTGAATGCTTCCTTTGCTTGCTGATTTAATGCTAGTAATCCTTATCCTGATGCTGTTTTATAATTAGGTCAATGCTACCGGAAGTAGCATCATGCTACCGGAAGTAGATAATGAATTTCAGCATTGCCGTTAAAGCAATAAAAGTGTCTTTTACAATTATTTGATCATAATATCTCACTATGTATCAATAATGTGAATACTTTAACCAATATTCTTTCTTTCTTTTTTTAATTTTTTACTGAATTAAAACTCATTGATTTTCTGATGCTAGTAGGATAATGCTGATTTTATTTAGGTCAATGCTGGTTTTATCCTTTGCTTGCTGATGCTGATCCTGGTAATGCTGTTTTTTAAATGCTGATGCTGATGCTAGCTCGATCCTGATGCTACTAATGCTCATGCTAATGCTGGTTTATGTAACAAAATTAGTTCCCTGCACTGTACCTAGCTGATATTAGAGATTTCAGTCTTTCGAATAGTGAACTACAAGTGTGATATTATTAAAATTACAAATACCTGAAATTGAGTACTGCATAGGGTAATCATTCTTCTTCTAGAAAGAGGTACATGTACAAATCATGAATTGCATAATTATATTATTTGTAGAATGTGTTAATCTTAATGGTGGTTTTCTAAACACTCAAAAGTCTGAAATCAGAGCTGCAATAAGACGTACATATGATATATCTTATAACATAAAAAATTTTGAATACATTTCAATTTGATTGCTTTATACATGTACACTGTACTTAGTTTACAAAGAACTATGAATGCTAACTCTTGATTTCCGTATGTTAAACTTATGTAAATTCAATGCTTAAGATTGATAAAATACTTTTTTAAAAATTTGTTATGTCATTTGAAATTGGCAAAAATGTCCATTTATGCTGCTTTTTGTCTGTAAACGTATGCCCCCTCCCCTCCTCCTTGAAACAAAAAAAGCTTTGGTAAGAATTTGTGTAATAACACCCCATAATACTTGTAAAAAGATATTTTAGTTTCAAGGGGGGGAGGGGGGGAGTGGGGTATTTTCCATTTTTATAGTGAAAAACTCGCTTTACCAAAATTAAATTATAGTGTTATCTCTGTTTTTCCAAATAAGTTATGTTTTATGAAAATTTACATAAATATCTATGTAAATATGAGATACAATTCAAATATGTTAACTTTTGAAAAATGACTTGGAAGTAGGTGGCAGAACATTTTTATTATTATCGTTTCGCAGTTCTTACTGAAAGTCTATGAGAGATTATTTGATGTACATTTTAGTAATTGACTGCTTTCAATATCTTACTTGCATTTGTTTTCCCAAAGAAGTCCCAAAAAACTTAACATAAACTTACCTTTAAGCAAATTCTGAGACTCTCTACATTACTAGAAGTTAGGCCAATATTGTTGGAGTTTATCACCTGGTCAGGTTTTCTGGCATCAAGGAAATAAACATGACCATTACATGATATCTGAACTACATCATTTCCACTGAGATCTAGAGTCCACCTGGCAGATTGTACACAATTAGTGTCAAGAACAACTGGAAATTTCTCCCTCCTGTCCCATTTAAGTAACTGTCCATTGATTAAGCAACAATACACAGTATGAGAGTCCATGTTTCTGATGCTTGTGATTTTGTCAGCATTAGAAAATTCTAAAGAATATTAAAATAAACTTTTGAATGCTTTAATCTTTACAATACAACATAGTACTATAAACAAATGCTTGTTACCTTTAATTGGAGATATTTTTATTCAAGCTATCCTGTATACATTGTGGCTTAATCATTGAAAACAATAATTAGTTGATTCATTCCAAACCGGGCCAGGGTACTGAATCAAGATTCAGTGTTATTCTGTCTTTCCTACATAGAACACATTTGATATCCTATCACTGAAGCATTTACAAGTGAAGAGGTAATGGTTTTATGAATACTAATGCACTATTTCTCCTTATTGTTTTTATGATATTTTAATGGTTTTTTTTTTTTTTTTTTTTTTTGGAAAATACATCACGTCTTGTAAAAAGTATGACAAGGGTATCAAATATAGATTCAGACTTAAAGAAGCTTCATAATTTTAACAGAGCCTTCATTCTACATAAATGCTTCAATGATAGGATATCAAATGTGTAAAACTCATTATTACGTAATAAGAGCTCATTGCACATTGCATGTTATAGGAATGGAAAAATGGAAAGATCGGATCAGGATTAGCACTAAGACCCCAACCCCACATACCTTCATCCATACTGGATCTCCCATGTTGCAGCAAAACAAACATTGTTCTCAACTTATCTTTTCTGAGTACAAAGAGAAACTTTTAAAAATCCTTTATAATATAATCAAATAAAAGTTATACCACTAGTGTCTTGCACAACAGATTGGGTCATGATATCTGTGCAACAAAGGTTATCCCCATGAGAACCAAAGGTCACATGATCCTGTTCTTGTACTGCTATCAATGACCATGATCTGTTAATTCAGTGAACAATAAATACATGAAAGTCAGTGATATTTAAGTACAAATCTTTTAAAACTAGCAAACATATACTTGAATTCATAAATATTTATACATACTAGTAGATACCGTTATATGCATGTATACAAAATTTCATCTTTTGAGATGACAAGCAAGGGTACATGTATCACAATAAATATAAATTAGGAATTAGGAATCAAAATTATTTTTTTTTAAAAAAATACAGTTTAAAAATACAAACCCTCTTGGTTTTACATTCTTCAGCTTTCTGTCTATTTTTATCAGATCTGAAATACCAACAACATAAATATACCTTCCAAGATAATTTCCAAAAAAAATCAATTTTTCCCAAAATATTGACAGTTCATATTTATAATATTTTTTTCTGAAACCCTTGGAGCGATCTTATTATATCTTGGACATTAATAATACCAACAATTATTTAAAAAAAACAGCAGAAATCTATTTTTCCATTGCTTTAAATGTGATAAAGAGAGGACAAAAGAGCCACATGTGTGCACTAAGTGGGTGAATCAGGTTTGAAATGAATATTTCATTATAGTCTGAAAACAATGTCAAGCAAAAATTATCTTAAAAGCTACGTACAGTTGAGAACTCATTAATCAAGATGTACATTTTCATCATTGCTGTATAAAATTGATGTTATTTACCCAATTCAACCAGGGAGAATGTTATGATGACCTTTTTTTTTAATTTCTAAAGCCTTTCTTCATTTACCCACCATTATACAGGCAATGACTAAATAATGAGCAAAAATAACATTTAATAGCATTTAATTGGTTTTAGGTGAGCTAATATGCTCTTGGCCCATCATCAATTGCTTAATTTGTATTTCCAAATACAAATCCTTAAACAATGTGTTTTAAATATTTATGTACCTGTATCCCGAGATCCCAACTTCCACACAACCAACTGGCCTTCAACATTGACTGCACTTGTGCATATTAATCTGTCATTAAAAATTACAGCTGGGCTGGGTTCAAGATCGTAGCGGCTAACCTAGCAACTAGGTTGTAGATATCTATCTCTATTGAACGGACAGCTAACCTAGCCGCTAAGTGTTAAATTTCGAATATAAATATATGAGTATAAACTTATTTTTGGAGGAAAAAAAAGTTTATTTCAAGCGAAAATATACATGTAAATAGACATTTAATATGCTAAGATGTATAAAATTATTCCCCATTTAGTTAATATCATATGTGCTGTGAAGTTGTAACTAAGGAGGCCAACTTGGATTTGTTACTTAGCATCAAATATTTATGCTAGCTCTCCCTACATAGCGGCTAGGCTAGCTTTCCGTTCAAGAGCGTAGCTTTATGTAGAGGCTACGTAGCAGCTATGCTATTGAAGGCACCTCTGATATTGCTAATTAGAATCAAAAGTAAAACTTATCCAGAAGAATTACAATGCAACGTTATTCACCATAAATCAGTTATGAAACACTGATCCATATAATTATATTCTTTTCATCCAATAACCTTTAAATTTTAAGAACAATGTTCTTGTAAAATTTGGAAGGGTGTACTTAAATGATAACCTTGTTCCTGGGATGTGCTTGATGTCCCTGATCTCTGTGGAACTGAAACCTCCCGTAAGAACCTGGAAATCTCTGTTCTTTGACAATGCCTAATAATCATTGTGAAAATAAATTTTTTAGTTACAAGCACTTTCATGTAGAAATTAAGAGTTTGTAAATTAACTTGTCTTTCGGCAATATTATCTGAAAAAGAAATTAAAATATTTTTTTATCTTCTTAATCTTTTTTTTTTTTTTTTCGGGGGGGGGGGGGGGGGGGGTTAATTTGGTTTATGTAATTGCATATCTGGAAAACATAGTATACTCCTAATATTTTCTTTGGTTCTAAATGTTGATTTGTCTGCTTAATAACTATATTCAATTTTAAATATAATTAAAAAAATTACCATATCTTCAGTAGTACACAGCTTATCTGGGAGGCTAAGCTCTGTTACTTCATGTTTAGACATTCCTCTTGTTGCAACACAGACACCTGTAATACATGTATATAAAACTGTTATATAACCTTCCAAGTAATTTTATCATGATTTTATGGAAACTGTAAGAGATTGGAAAAACTGTGATGAAGCAAAGTCAGGGGTTGAATCCAGGCCCCAGGAATCCTTTACAGATACCTGCATGAACCTGCATGTTTGTTTAGCCCTGCATGTTTGTTTAGCACGTAATGGATGTTTTTAAACATGTTAAAGGATTTACCATGTTTACTCAACTGATAATGTTCTAAAAAAACAAATATACAATTATGATGAAAATACTGGTACAAGCGTATAGATAATCAGCTGAATGAAAAATTTATCACTTTATTTATTGTCTGATCTGATGTCTTGAGCTGAAGCTGATAAGAGAACTCGTATAATTGATCAGCACAGAGCAAACAGTAAATTAAAACTGTACATTACAAACCGTTTGTGTCAATCCATGCTAAAGCTGTCACTGGGTATTGGAGATCATACATGTGCAAATGTTTGTATCTAAAAGATATAAAATTAACAAACATATAAATATACAGCTACACAGTCTGTTATAGACGGCATTTACTGATTTATCCTTTTATTTAAACAAAATAATCTTGGTCAGCTGTTGCTTCAGAAAATGTGCGGTGTCATAGAATACAGTCGCTGTGTTATGTCATAGCCAAAAATGGACCTTACCTAGTAACCGAATCAAATAGCCAATCGTCATCTTCTGTACTATTAGCAGTCATTCTGTAGTATTTGTTCAAGTAATGTGTAACAAAAGACTGAAATGTTCTTACTTTCATTTTCGAGTGTACACGATCCCGATCGAAATAAAAAATGTTTCTACTTGCATGGGAAGAAATTCAAATATACCTCGAAATTCTGTGGATTTTCTCCGGTGCATTGGCGGATCCAGAGGGGGGGTTCCGGGGTTGGAACCCCCCCTTTATTTTTGCAGAGAGAGAGAGATTTCTGTAATATAGATAATTTAACGTCTAATATTTTGAATAAGATAAGTAGTTCAATCTCTGCCCTTTCTGCTCGCTAGATAAAGTGTCCCGTATTCCATCCTCCACGTACCTCCAGAACCTTGGCCCCGGGCCCTGACTACCCACAAGTAACATGCAAGATTTCACTTTGATATCATTGGAAGATTCCATGCCATTTTTGGACCATCTTCTGAAGTAACTAACTTTAAAAAGTATGAATAAAAAGTCATGAAAGGGAGCATACATAAGAGACTATTATGGTGATATTTTAATCTATGAAGAGAAAGGTGTAAAATGCCTCAGTAGTATGCGGGGGGAGTGGGTTCACTTTTTCTGAGAATAATCTTTTTGCTGTAGTTTTAATATGCAGGTTTTGATTTGGATGCTCCCCCATTTTGTTGCTGGAAGTTCAAAATACGCATTTCAAGCATTTGAAACCAAAAAAGTGCGGAAAAGTAAGAGGACCCCCCCCCCCCCTTACCCCGAAATAGGATGTAAGAATTTGGTTGTTGTTTTTTTTTTAACTTGTCAACTCTGTTCGGAGGTTGACCCTTTTGATAAACAATTGCTACGGCTTTGAAGTGTCTGTGGCGTAATTCTATGCATGAATGTTGGGGGCACCGACCTGGAACCCCCCCCCCTTTCAAAAGTTGCTGGATCCGCCCCTGCGGTGTAGCTTTAGACCGAATTCAATGAAAGCGCAATTAACGCATAATCTTTACATTACCCATGAGAGTGATGTGAGACAAATGATTCAGCAGTGTTGAGGGAAGGGTCCAAACTTTTACAAATTTAAAATTAATATAGGTTTAAAACTCTATTTTCAGAGAACAATCATACTCGCAAGCCAGAGGTCCTGAGTCAACACGTTGTCGTTGGACCCCGGGGTCCAACGGCAACGTGTTGACTCGGGACCCCTGGTTTGCGAGGATGGAGAACCAATATGAGGCCTTTCATTTTTTTTTTTGGGGGGGGGGGGGGGGACTACAATTGTATGAGGCGCTGTTTTGGTATTTACTGCCAAAAAGTGATATCACCTATTCGAATAGGTGATATCACCTATTCGAATAGGTGATATCACCTATTCAATTGGTGATATCACCTATTCAATTGGTGATATCACCTATTCGAATAAGTGATATCACCTATTCAGCTTCTGAATAGGTGATATCACTTTTTGGCAGTAAATACCAAAACGGCGCCTCATACAATTGACCTAAGTTCATTTTGATTGGTCATTACCGATGTGATACCTGAAATATGCATAAATAACTCGCGGTGTCTGAGAGGGACTTGCATACTATGGGTTCTCCTTAGATTCAGAATTATTTTAAGGCTATCATAAAAAAAATCGCTAAATTTCAATATTAATTTAATTAATTATAGATAAAATTGAAATAATTTCCACATGCAAAAAAAGTAGAAGAATACATATATATGTTAGCAAAATAATCGATCATATTAAAGGAAATGAATGCTATACTTATCAATGACATCCGAAGAAAATATTTGTAAAAGTATTTTTTTTTTTAGATCCACCTCTCTAGGATTCTGCCATCAATTGTCTCGACTCATTCTTAGGGAAATATCGGTGATTAGCGTTAATAGCACTTGTATTGCGTTCAGCGGTGTCTTCCAACTTAGCCAACATTTAAAAAAAAATACAGGTAAATCTGTTTTGATTCAGCTCAAAGAAAAATCGGAAGGGATTTCTTGGGATATGGTATATTAGATATTAATATTCCATATAGGCAAAATGACAGTACACTATTACACATCATTTTGCTGCTCTGTCAAAGTGTAAAATTCAAGTAAATAAATAAAAAGATAAATAGAGAGAGAGAAAAAAAAGAGATAGATATGGATTCCATGGGATTGCTACAATTAATAGACTAATAGATATTATTTCAATGGGGAACACCATGCATGCAGCACCTTTTTTTAAATATCGAATACAGAGTACTTGGGTGTACAATCAGAAGGATTTTGAACAAAGTAATTTTTAATTACCATAACAAGATAATCATGAAAGTTTTATAGTTCCATTCCTATTGAAGATGTAGAACGTCTGTGATGTCAAAAAAGATTAAAGTGTTGTGATACACCCAAAGAGCCCGCCATACAATTTTATGGATAATCTTCCGACTTTTATTTTATTAAACTCATTTTCTGGTGTTATGGAAATAAGTTATCATGTAAGATTTAAAAAAAAAGTATTGTTAAACATATATTTTTCATCAATTAAATTTCAACACGTCAGTCATTCTGAAACACGACAAGAAATGTCGTCATTTACTGAACCTTTACCCTGTTTAAATGACACCAGCCTGATAACAACTTCTTTACTGTACAAATGACACCAGCCTGATAACAACTTCTTTACTGTACACCCACTTCTTAACGATACAGGTAAGAAATATGACTTTACAGTCATGCACATTTTCATAAGTAACCTAATTTTCAGTAATTTTCGCAACTGCATCGCGAGCATTAAATGCTTCCTGCTTTCGACTGCATAAGTCATGTATATCTGTATATAAATGTGAGGAATCCCTTTTAGCTACATACTGGTACGTGTGACAAAATCTTAATCTAGGTCTAATCTATATATTTACACTTTCAATTGAGATTAATCAATTGAGTAATACGAAATTCCCCCAAACTCTTACTACTCATTTAAAAGACATGTGAAAAATATAAAATCAGGAATATCGGATTATCAATAAATTGGGTTGGCTAGACAGTTGTATGGCGGCCAATTCGTTTTGAAATTGTCTGTCAGAAATTTCATATTCTGTATCGATCGATGATAACGTTCGTGTGAACAAACATTCATCATAGTATCATTAAGCATTTTATTATTACAAAATAACATATACAATATTGTAATTTTTTTTTCATTATTATTCCATGGGACATGTAGGTATTTATACAAGTCAGTATGGCCTACCTTTTGGAGGGAAGTCTCGTTTTTGGTGTTGGAATAATAGCAATTCTGACGTACAGATTTTTCATTATTCCAATGCCACCGCAAGCTGAGGAAAAAACAAAGAGGCGGATTTTACTGTTAATATGGTGGATCTTAGGAAGAGTGGTAAGATATATATATATATATACTGTTGACATTTTTAGCTCACCTGAGCTGAAAGCTCAAGTGAGCTTTTCTGATCACATTTTGTCCGGCGTCCGTCTGTCCGTCTGTCTGTCCGTCTGTCTGTCTGTAAACTTTTCACATTTTCAACTTCTTCTCAAGAACCACTGGGCCAAATTCAACCAAACTTGCCACAAAGCATCCTTGGGTAAAGGGGATTCAAGTTTGTTCAAATGAAGGGCCACGCCCTCTTTCAAGGGGAGATAATTAGGAATTAGTGAAAAAATAATGGCATCATTTAAAAATCTTCTTCTCAAGAACCACTGGGCCAGGAAAGATGAAAATTATGTGGAAACATCCTCAGGTAGTGTAGATTCAAGTTTGTTCAAATCATGACCCCCGGGGGTAGGGTGGGGCCACAATGGGGGATCCAAGTTTTACATAGAAATATATAGGAAAATATCTTTAAAAAATCTTCTTCTTCAGAACAGTAAAGCCAAGATTGGTCATATTTATATGGAAGCATCCTCAGGTAGTGTAGATTCAAGTTTGTTCAAATCATGACCCCCGGGGGTAGGGTGGGGCCACAATGGGGGATCCAAGTTTTACATAGAAATATATAGGAAAATATCGTTAAAAATCTTCTTCTTAAGAACAGTAAAGCCATGATTAGTCATATTTATATGGAAGCATCCTCAGGTAGTGAAGATTCAAATTTGCTCAAATCGTAACCCCCGGGGGTAGGGTGGGGCCACAATGAAGGATCCAAGTTTTACATAGGAATATATGGGAAAATATCGTTAAAAATCTTCTTCTTAAGAACAGTAAAGCCATGATTAGTCATATTTATATGGAAGCATCCTCAGGTAGTGAAGATTCAAATTTGCTCAAATCATAACCCCCGGGGGTAGGGTGGGGCCACAATGAAGGATCCAAGTTTTACATAGAAATATATAGGAAAATATCTCTAAAAATCTTCTTCTTAAAAACAGTAAAGCCATGATTGGTCATATTTATATGGAAGCATCCTCAGGTAGTGAAGATTCAAATTTGCTCAAATCGTAACCCCCGGGGGTAGGGTGGGGCCACAATGAAGGATCCAAGTCAAGAACAGAAAAGCCATGATTAGTCAAATTGATATGGAGGCATCTTTGGGTAGTGTAGAATGAAATTTGTTCAAATGAGGCCCCCCATGGGTAGGGTGGGGCCACAATGGGGGATCAAATTTTTACAAATGAATATATGGGAAAAAAATCTGCTGCTCAAGAACAACAAAGCCATTTGTTATATTGATATGAAAGCATCATCAGTTTGTTTAAAATTCAACACCCCTCTCCCTGTAAACTTTTCAATACTGTACTGATTTTTGCTTTTTTTCCTAGCCAATGTGTGCTCAGGTGAGCGATGTGGCCCATGGGCCTCTTGTTATGTATGCTTATTTTAAAATTTTTGTTAAGAAATATAATTGATTTCGCTATATGTTTTGAATTCAAGTATCTCTTCTTTTGTTCCCTTTTAAATAACTGATTGTTTGATAATGGCTGCGAATTTCATTAAGAATTATCTTCGATCACCGTTCGTTGCTTTAATTCTCATTTCATTTTCAATGGTTTTAGGTTCAGTGTCCAATACTATACAAAGCAAAACTCTAAATTTGCTACATGTAGGTTAATAAGGCTGTCTACAGTAATTAATTAACAAAAATACCCACAAAAGAGCTACCACCTGGTCCTAATCATGCAACAATTGTGTATCTGATATTTCATAATTTGCAACACTGTATGAAACGTATTTTTGTGAAATGAAAAATTTGTTCGTTATTATTTGTTTGTTTGTTGTTTAACGTCCCCCTCGAGAATTTTTCACTCATATGGAGACGCCACCACTTGCCGGTGGAGAGCTGCAAATTTTTTACCTATACTCGGTACTTAGGGCCATTGAGCAGTGAGGGATCTTTTTCGTGCCAGCACCGACTGCGACACGGAACCTCAGTTTCTACGGTCTCCTCCAAAGGACCGGTCTCCACGTCCCACAGTGGGACTTAAACCCGCGACGTAAGGATCAACTCTTTACTCCGCGATTCTAGAGCAAACGCTCTAACCACTGCGCCACATGGGCGACTGTTCGTTATTTGATAAACTGCCATCCTTTCCAATTATATATACTAAGCAGGAGGGAAAGAAAGAGAGATGGATAGAACAATTAAATTCTATGCATATGTAGTATCCACTGTCTAAAGGTACTAATTTTGATTTGTAACAAAAGCATTTTGATTACCAGTAAATAGAACCATTTTATACGGCAGACGAAGTTACGAATGTGGTTGGGAAAAGGTCATGAAATGCTGTTACTACAACTGGAACCACCACCTCGGTCACATCCAGGGGACACTGTAATCGTAAGTTGTACATGTACATATATATATGTTGTACTTAAAATTATACTGCACTTCATTGCTGTAGGGTCTGAGAAACATTTAACAATTCAAGTTTCTTCTATGATATAGAATTTAAAAATTACAATTTAAAAAAAAAATCAAAATTTGAGCGAAGTGCCTATAGTGCGACAAACATGAAGGTGGAAATTAAATCTCAATTATAAGAAAATTTTCTTTGATATTTCATCTTACACTAAAGTATTTATGTCTTTATGTTAAATCTCCACAATTTTCAAATATCTCACAGAGATTGAAATTATTTTCCTTTGAAATATCTCATACTATAACACAATTTGTCGATATGAGTGGGTCTTGGCTCCATTTTTTGAAAGTTTATCCCCAAAGTTTACGTAAAAATATACATTTTATGGTTAACAAAACATGGAGCAAAGACCCACTATACCTCAATAATACACTTTTATGTCACAACATTCGCATCTTCCGAGGAATACTTGAAGTCCAATTAGTGAAGGGTCATACCACAAACATGATTTAAATGCCAATATTCATCAGGAGCTGATTAGCGCCTTAGTCTCAAAGGAAAATGATACCAAGAATTTCTATTGCTAGGGTTCGAACCCCATTATTTTTTAAGAAGGCTGGGGGGTTGTGGTCATTTTCAGACTATATTGATCTCCTTTAGAAGAAGAGCTCCATATAAAAATATACAAAAATGATCAAATTTTAAAACTAAAATTTTTGAAATTTTTCTTTGCCAAATGAAAGTTGACAGCTTAAGATATCATATACCTAAAAATTAAAGTTATATCTGATGGTTAATTTGTTGACCCCCCAGCCTCCTTAATAACAGAATAATTTTTGCCGAGAAAATTTTCTTCAGAAAAGTTTTGTTTATCATTATTTCACAAATTGCATTAAAGAGAACTTTACTCTAACTACTAAATTTACAAATTGAATGTGATTTTTAACATATCTGAAGCAATAGGCATTCTGCACGCCATGTTCTCTCATCTCCTTTTGAATTTTATTACAAAAATACAAATTTCAAAATTGTAAATGAAAAACTGTAAAACCTGTGACATTTTGGTAACTAATACTTCTTTCACCAGTAATCTTACTGAACAGAGCTTCTATACCAAAACTTGGGAAAATTTTAACTGCAAATATTCTAATGTTGTCTACGGAATAGAATGTAATCTTTGTGGACTTGTTTATGTTGGTGAAACCAAGGGATCACTTCATAAAAGAATATCAGATCATAGATTTCATATAAATAATGTGGGTCAGCAGCTTTTATACAAGCATTTTAATTTACCTGATCATTCTATTTTGTCAATGAAAGTTAGAATTCTAGAAAACACTTACCACCACACAAACAGCCAATCACTGAGTACATCTTTCCGTAGACAACGAGAAGAATTTTGGATTAGAAAACTAGGGACAGCCTTTTCCTATGGATGTAATGACAATGTCGATAGTTTTGGAAATCTTTCCAGTCCACAGTGTAACAATGTAAATGTGAGAGGACTTTTTAACCATACACAGAGACGTAAGCGTAGTCATGGGCATCGGTCTTACAATAAAACTTTAATATATGATGTCTCTTTTGATTCATTACTACCTTACGTAAATCAACAGTTAGGTCTTTATATTCGCACCAAACTCTACTCTGTCCCTTTGAAACTTTTAAATAGTCTTCTTGAAAATGTCAAGGAAAGTCCCTTTTTTGATTCCTCGACACCAGAATATAGGCTCGGATCTGTGATTATGGATATTGCAAATCATAGGCTTTTTAAACCCCCACGTTTTACTGAAGAAAATGGAGCTAAAACAATCAGTTTTTTCCTTAAACTTCAATATGCCAACAAAGGAATTGACGCGGTTAATATAAGTAATATTCTTAATCACAAAAGGGTCCAGTCTTGTATTCCACCATATTTCAAGTTAAAGTCTACACCTTGTATTTCCTACAAATATACATCGACTATTGCTTCCAAACTTTTTAATTGCAAGAAAACTTTACAGGGCCTGGATATCGAATATCTTAAACATAATCTTCCATCGTGTTCATGTTCTTCTTCACCCTATAACTATAGTCCTGCTGGACACGTTATTACTGGTGACGGAAATATAGTAAATAATGAGGACCATAGATCATTAATTCTAAAAGGTCCTAAATATAGGGCACCCTGATCCTTCAACTGGCGTCAGAATTTCATAAATATTATGGATTCTGTAGAGGACTACGCCAGGCGATGGGCCAGACATTAAAAAGAAGATCTTGACACTTTGTCAGAATGGATTAAATGTATCAGATGTATGTTAAAATCGCGCATTAAAAGATTGAGGGACAACATGAGAACCATCTATCCTTCTGTATTCAATAATCCAGAAGTGAAAAAAGAATTAGATAGATTACATGATCAGTACGTATTGGTCCCTGCTGACAAAGCAGGTAACAACATTGTCTTTGTTTGTAAGGCTCATTATATTAAATGTATTTTAGAGGAACTTGGATTTAATTCTACAAGTGGTAATCCAACTTATACTCATAGTTCCCTTTCTATAGATTCTTCAAAATCATTTGTCAGTTTTGAATATCTTTAATATCCCAAACAACCAAAATGAATTTGAATTACCATATCTATATTGGATTCCGAAACTTCATAAAAATCCTTAAAAACAAAGATACATAGCGGGTTCCAGTAAATGTTGAACCAAGCCTCTTTCTTTACTCCTCACTAAGATATTAACAGTAGTGAAGGAGAAACTTCAAGAGTACTGTGCAACAATATATTCGAGAAGTGGTTTAAATCAGATGTGGATTCTTAAAAATTCTAAGGAACTTTTGGAAAATTTGAAATCACAAGAATTTACCAAAATCGACAGCTTAAAAACTTACGACTTTTCAACTTTATACACAACCATTCCCCATGATAAATTAAAGTCCAGGCTTTTTGATATCATTGACAGCTGCTTTTTCAATAAAAATGAAATTCGTAAATTTACTTACCTTGTCATTGGTCATTTGCAAAATTATTTTGTTAAAAACATTCTGATTGTACACACAAGTACTCTGAAGTTGACATAAAAAGGTACTTGAGTTTCTGATTGACAATAACTATGTGGTTTTTGGAGACCAGGTCTTCCAACAATCTATTGGAATTTCCATGGGTACCAATTGCTCCCCGTTATTAGCGGACCTTTTTTTGTATTCACATGAAGCAGAATTTATCCAAAATCTTATACGTGAAAAGAAGAAGACACTTGCTGTGGCCTTCAACTCGACATTTAGATATATTGACGACGTATTGTCAATTAACAATGGTTATTTCCATTCTTATGTCAATACGATATATCCCGGTGAGCTTCAGATAAAAGATACTACAGAGTCTGACACATCTGTTTCATATTTGGATATTTTACTTGAAAAAGACGTTAATGGTAATCTAACAACCAAGCTTTATGATAAACGTGATGACTTTAACTTTTCAATCGTCAACTTTCCTTACTTATGCAGCAATTTACCTTCATCACCTGCATACGGAGTTTATATCTCTCAGTTAATTCGATACGCAAGAGCATGCTCTACGTATGTACAATTTCTAAAACGAGGTAAATTATTGACAAACAAGTTGATGAAACAAGAATATCAGCAGTCTCATTTAAAGTCATCATTTCGTAAGTTCTATGGTCGATACAATGACCTTGTCAGCAAATACAATTTATCATTGAGTCAAATGCTGAGTGACGTTTTTCATACTAATTGTTAGGCCATTATTTACACACTGAATTGTCGACGGATTTTTCCGTTATTTTCCGATCATGACAAAGACCACACGGTGGGTGTGACCGGTCGGCAGGGGATGCTCACTCCTCCATGGCACCTGATTCCACCTCTGATGTTTTGGAGGTCTATGTTTGCTCTGCTCCTATTTTGCATTGTTTAATGGACATTTGAGCTTGAATACTGTTTGTTATCTCTATATATTTCATTCATATTTCTCAAATTAAGATATTGGAAGCAAAACTCTCTAGGTCTTTTTTTTTTCAAAAATTCTGAACTATTAAGTGCTACACACACCTGATAACTGCATGTAAATAGAATATCATCGAGATTTCTTCGTATTCCTCCGTTCATGGGTCCAGAGAATATCTTTCCTTTGTGGAATACCCTGAAGGACCATGTTGCGCACGTCCGTCATGTTTTACTTTAAAGTATTGATCAAGATATATTATTATATTGTAACATTTTTTTTAATTAATTTTAACAACTAGGTGAAAAATTATTTTGCGATTTACATGTAAAACATACATGTATCTTACATCCAGACAGAAAACACTGTGTTAGGAGGCATTCCAGTCCGAATTTTTCGGCCCACAAAAACAAATACCAGCGATGAGAAACTTCCTGGGGTGATATATTTTCATGGAGGAGGGTGGTGCTGGGAAGTATGGGGTAAGCCATAAGTCAATAATGAGATACGATGAAAAATGAAATTAACATGCGATAAAATCTATTTTTGCTATTGTTATACAGTTGTATGTTTACATGATGAATGCATTTACATGGTTTTAATGTCGTTTATTAATTTCTCTCTTATACATGTATCTCCATTGCAGCCAAGGTGGAAATGTAAAATCTTGCAAAAGTTTCGGTTAGCCAATTTTTTTGTTGTTTTGTTCAGTTCCAGGGTCCTTCAATAAGTAATGCCACAAACGGTTTGTCATAATAAATGTAGAAGCACTTAATTTTTTTTAAAGTAATACACTTATTTAAGAATTCATTACCATCGACAACTGCATATTTTTTTCCTACAGTCTCCACAAAGAAATTCACTTTTAAAGTAAGCATGGTCAGTAGAATGAGCTAAAAACTGTATAAAAATGGTCTTTGCCAAAAAAATGAAAATGAAAAACCGCGCTTTATAACAAAAATCACCGAAGAACCACTATGAAAGATGTGGTTTTGATATCTGGAAAGACATGCCTTTCACACTGTACAGTGTTCAGATGGATTAAGAAATCCAAAAACGCAAAAGGAGTGTTACAAGATCGTAGTTGACTAGCCAATCAAAATCTGTAAGCACATCAAAAAATATCATTGCTTTGAGCAACATGATATATCTGTAAATGCCAGATTTACCGTGAAAGACGTTGATAAGATACTAAATATTTCATCATCACAGTCTTAAGAGTTCTGACAAAGGAAATTGAATCAAAAATATTTCTTTATCAGATGGGTGCCTTATTTCCTTATCAGATGGGTGCCTTATTTCCTTATCAGATGGGTGCCTTATTTCCTTACAGATGTCTAAGAGAAACGCGTTAAATGCGTCAATGGTCTATTAAAAAAATAAAATTATTAAAAAGAAGGCACATACAATAAACTTAGTTGGTGAGTATCAAAACATTGATGCACTTTTTATTGCATAACAGGAAGAGCAATAACTAGAAACTCATTACTAGTAATGAGAAGGTCTTCCGTTATACCACTTCCTGTTGGGAGTCGCCTATGTAACACAGTTTTTTTAACGGTTTTTTGGCCGGTACTTCTAGCGGAAATAATTTGCATGGACATGTCTTTTTCTAACTTCGGTATTATCCTAAAACTATTGTAAAAAGAAAACAACTTGCAGAAATTCACTTTTTTGTATCACTTCCTGTCACAATCGGAAGTAATGGAGACACATGATTTTACACGATGCATTTGAACTGATGATTGACTATCAGTCCTGAAAGTTTTAGTTTTCAGTCTTTTACTTGTTGTCAAGCAATTTTGAGAGCACATTCTAATTTTGAGTACAGGAAAACATGCGACAGGAAGTGAATTGTATAAAAATCTCTGAAATTTCTCTAGACATTTGTAGTAACTACAACATATATAAAAACATTTCAAATACTTTATCTCTAAGTAATATTTATGATACAGTTAAAATAAAAATAACATAGTTGATCTCTTAAAACCGGAAAGTTAGGTTTTTGTTTCCGTTGGAATTTAACATATCACAAAACATCAAAAGAGTTGCAATAAAGTGATGCAAGTTTTAATTTTAAAAAGAAAGCTTAAATTTTTTGATATTTTATCACTTCCTGTGACGACCGGAAGTGACGGTTGACACGTTTAACTATATATGTTTTGTCTACTCCTCAAGATCTATTATTCTTATAAGTTTGGTGTCTTAATCTCTTACTGTTTCCAAGATCTCGCTGAAATAACTTTTAATTTTGAGGACAAGAAAACACGCGACCGGAAGTGAATTTTACAAAGATATCTGAAATTACTCTAGACATTTGCAGTCTGAATAAAGTATCTAAAAATCATTTCAAATTCCTTATCCATAAAAGATATTTATGGGAAAGTATAATACTCAAATTATGTGGTTTTTCTCTTATAACCGGAAGTTGTCGTTTTTGTTTCCGGTGGGACTGACATATTTCGAAACGACAAATAAGATGCAATAAAGTGATGCAAGAAAAGATTCAAAAACGAAAAGTTGAAATTTTCGATTTCTATGATCACTTCTTCTGACGACCGGAAGTGACGGCTGACGTTCTTGACCCAAATGGTTTTGCCTACTTGTCTAGATCTATTACTCATAAAAGTCTGGTGTCTTAATCTCTTACCATTTCTGAGATCTGGCTCAGACAAATTCTCATTTTACGGACAGTAAAACACGCGACGGGAAGTGAATTTTACGAAGATATTTGACGTTACTCTAGACATTTGCAGTTTTAACAACATATATAAAAATCATTTCAAATACTTAATCTATAAGCGATATTTATGGGGAAGTATAATACTCGAATTATGTAGTTTTTCTCTCTTAACCGGAAGTTGACGTTTATGTTTCCGGTGGGACCAACATATTTCGAAACTACAAATGAGATGCAATAATGTGATGCAAAAAAAGTGTCAAAAAAGAAAAGTTGAAAATTTCGATTTTTATGACCACTTCCTGTGACGACCGGAAGTGACGGTTGACGCTCTTAACCCAAATGGTTTTGCCTACTCTTCAAGATCTATTACTCGTGTAAGTTTGGTGTCTTAATCTCTAACCGTTTCTGAGATATGACTGGGACAAAATATTTTTGAAAAAAACGGAAATCGGACATATCTGACGACCGGAAGTGAATTTTGGAAAAATGAAAAAAACTCCTAAGGGTATTTTCATTGTCTATCATCCCTGAAAATTTCAAGAAAATCCGTCTAGCCATCTCTGAGAAATCGAGGGGGACACGAAAAGGGAAAAAAAAAATAATAATAACTAGATACTTATTGCCTAGGCAATAACAGGTCTTCCGTTTTCTTGATTCTTTTGTCAACTGTTCTGAAAAAAAAGCAGAAAATGCAAAAAAAAAAAAAAAAAAAAAAAAAAAAAAAGTTCTCCCAGCATGGATCGAACTCAAAACCTTCGGGTTATAAGACCTGTGCGCTAACCACTAGACCACGTATTCCGATGAAGATGGAGGTAGTAAATTAATTGTTTAAGAATAAATAGGAATAAAAGCACGTGTTCTTTTGTTTGTTATGGAATGTAGTGATCAGTATTGAATAGATTGAGAAACACGATTGGTGTATAATGCAAATGCAGATTGTCGGCTTAAAAAATTATTTGAGTTGGTCTATATTTGGAATGCATTGAATTAATCATTCAGAGCCTATGATGCATTAGAACTGCAGTGTCGAGACTTTGTTTACAAATATATGAAAATGTCGGATCGGGTTCGGATGTGACTGAATATCCTGAAATAATAGGTAAGCATCTCTGTGTGGATTGAATTAAATGTAAGTAGCATGAATCAAAATTTCAGATATGCATTTTAGAAAGAAAAATGTGCCAATGAGAGAGTGAAAATTTATTTGCTGGGAAAAAATCGCTGTTTTCGACATTCATTCGATTAATATTAATTCTAAATAAAATTGAAATAAATTCCACATACTAGAGAAAGCAAGAATGCTTGGTGTTAAAATATCATATCATATCAAGAGAATCGAGTGCTATTCATAACAACTGAAGAAATAAGCGAGAAAAGCTTTAATTAATTTTTATGTTCATCAGCACCTAAATTTCAGATACGAAAAAAAGATGTAGTGTTTGCCGTTAACATTCATAATTTCTATATACTTCAGAGATTCACTGTCAAATTTTCAGGAAACTTTCTTTCAGGTATCTTCTGCAAAACCCCGAAATTTTATGTCGATCCGAGGTGTTGTATGAGTTCTAGAGAAATATTCTAGGCTGATATTAATCTGATTTTTTTTTTTTTTTGATTTTTTTGGGGAAGGGGAGGGGAGAAAGAGGAGTAAATTTATTATTGATTCTGACCTTTTGGTCAAAAGTCAAGGTCATCGAAGTTCAAGGTCAAGATCAAAGGTTAAGATCAAAGGTCAAGGTCATGAGAAAATCCCGGAAATAAATTTACTTTCTATGTTTTTTTTTTTACTTCATCAAGACTGAAATTACTCCAAACAAATAAAATGTTCATTCTACACCTAAATTATTCACAACTGATCATCCCTAAAAGTTTCCATGAAAAACTACTCATGTTTGAAACAACGTCCGGTTTTTAGGCCGGCACTCCCAGTGAAAATGATTTGCATGGTTTTAGTCTATCTAACATCTGCATTAGCCAAACATTTCTGTAAAAAGAAAACAAAACTTGGAAAATTCACTTTTTTTGCATCGCTTCCGGTCACGACGGAAACTGACGGCAACGTACGATTTTCACATGATGTAGAAAAACTGGTGACTGACTATCAGTCCTGAAAGTTTTAGACTTCAGTCGTTTACTGGTGCTGAGCAATTAGGTGAATAAAATCTCAATTTGAGGGCAGGAAAATACGCAACCGGAAGTGAATTATACTAAGATGTTTGACGTCAATTTAGACATCTGCAGTCTCAATAACATATATAAAAATCATTTAAAGAACTCTATCTATAAGCGATATGTATGGGAAAATCCAAAAACCCTATGATGTAGTTTTTCTCTTATAACCGGAAGTTGTTGTTTTTTGTTTCGGGTGGAACCAACACATATCAAAACTGTGAAAAAGATACAATTATATGATGCAAGTCTTATTCCAAAAGAGAATAGTTGAAATTTTCGATTTCTTTGATCACTTCCTGTGACGACCGGAAGTGACGATTGACGCTCTTAACCCAAATGATTTTGTCTACTCCTCAAGGTCTATTACTCATAAAAGTTTGGTGTCAAAATCTCTTACCGTTTCTGAGGTCTCACTCCGAAAATTTCTCATTTTACGGACACCTAAACGCGCGACCGGAAGTGAATTTTACAAAGATTTTTGACGTTACTCTAGACATTTGCAGTCCTAATAACATAAGTAAAAATCAGTTCAAATACGTCATCTATAAAAAATATTTATGGGAAAGAAAAATACCCAAATTATGTAGTTTTTCTCTTATAACCGGAAGTTGTCGTTTTTGTTTCCGG